ACAGGTGAATGTGTGAGACACATTTGTTATTGTCTTTACTGTGATTAATTCTGGTCGTAAACATGGATTCAGGAGAAAAAACACACACAAACACAGGGGAAGGTGGAGGATTAAAACACACACAAACACACACACACAGATACACACACACACACACCCACACCAGCCTCAGCTGACACTAATGATCACATGACCCTCACATCCATGCAGATCCCAGATTGTTATTTAACCCTACGTCAGAGAGGAAACACACAACAGAGCTGCGTTTGGACCTGATCGGAACAGAAACACAGCGAAGCACGAAACAGAAAACACGCCGGCGTTCTGCCACACGGGGGAGGCTAGGGGGGAGTCTTAGTATGGTGTTGTAACACTTGCAATTAACATTTTTGCTAATATACTCTGCAAGAAATATTGATAAGATCACTATAAGTGGACAATGCTCACAGATTTTCACAGATATCTTGTGACTTATTTTCTCCCATGGGAATGGAGCAATACTGAGTCCAAACGTTTGGTTCTGTTCAACGGGGGACGAGGGGGTGGGAGTTCAGGGGTGTTAATTCAGGAAGAGACCATGTTCTCGAGGATCTTAGGGGTCAGAGGTCTGACCAGACGTCTGCTGCTGAAGGGTCAGCCTCAGTATTGAACGTCATGATGCTTCGTTACCTTTTTTAAATTTTTTTTTCTTTCACAGATTTGGTCAAACTGGAGTTCGTTTTGGCCACATTTTTTTTTTTTTTGCAAAGCTAAGAGACAGAAGAGACACGGCTCTTTTTTTTTTTTGGAACAAAGTAGAAGAAAGAAAACAATATATAAATATATATATATATATATAAATACACGACTCTAAATTTAGTGGTTTAGTCAACAGACAAAGAAAGGCCCTCCCCCACAGCGAGAGAGAAATACATCTCAGAGTTAGTAAAAGCACCAAAAAAAAACACATAAAGGAGAGTTTTTTTTTTTTTAATTATTATTATTATTATTATCATCACAACTAAAATACAAAGAGGATCCAGACCAGATCAGAGGATGATTGGTGAGATCAGAGAGTAGTAGTAGTAGAGCAACAACAAAGCACACTGTGGGTTTGATGTGGAGGTGACCCTACCTGAGGCAATCTGGGACTAAGGACTGAGTCCTGAAACACTAGTCTATAGAGAGAACAGAAACAACCGTTGTCAACCTGGATACACACTCACTCACTCACACACACACACACACAGCTTGGTTCATGTATCACACACACAAACACACACACACACACACACACGTCCAGTGGCGATCGCTGCCACCTCTGCCCACAGAGCGACCTTTTCAGTTTGCGGTGTCTGAGACCCTCCGTTCTAAAGAGGTACACAACAGCGCCCCCTACTAAAACACACACACAGCTTTATCACCTGTGCTGTGTTGTGCTTGAAAAGGATTTTATTTTTATTTTAATTTTTTTTTTTTTTAATCGTGGGCTCGTTCACCTCCACGCAGGCAGCTCTGTGCAGGGCAAGACTGGACGGCACATGCAGAATCACCCCCCGGAAGGAGAGAGAGAGAGAGAGAGACAGAGAGAGAGAGGGAGAGAGGGAAGGATCAGAGCGGGGGTGTGTAGTTGGTGGGTGAGTTTACTTACATACAAGTCGGCAGCTCCGTAAAACCCATCCTGATACACCACACTGAGAGA